ACATCAAGTTCTATTCCATTTTTGCCCACGTTGTTACATCACCATCAGTATAAGATCAAGATTTAGGATTTAAAGCTTAGAGAAGTTAGTTAGCTATAAGTGGTCTTAGTTGAGCTTTTTATAGGGTAAGTACTGAAATTCACACTCATTAATGACCAAACTACCATGTTGGGGCATTGAGATGTTTGCAATACAATAATCAGGTCTGCTGAAAATTGAGGCAGAAAATTCAGTTTATTGTAGCCTTAGATAGATATTCTTGTGATAAGGCAATCAAATACATATAACCTTATCATACTAGGGTTCGTGGCCTTTTCTCGACCCTCTGAAAGAGAACCTTCTTATTTACTTATTTATATTTATTTGTTTAGCAGTTTTTATTTATATTTATTTGTTTAGCAGTTTTTATTTATATTTATTTGTTTAGCAATTTTGTTTGTGCTAGCATTTTTTTTAGAATTTCTTGTTTTAACTGGGATTTCAATGCTTATCACCAAGCCTATGTGATCTTATAGTTCCTATACGTGCATAGCTTTGTCTTTTAGTGGCTCAATGTTGCTATTTTTTTTATATACCTTGTGTTGATTCGAAGTAACTCACTGTTTTTTTTTTCCTTCCATTTTTGTTGTTCAGGCCGTCTGCACAGAGGCTGGAATGTTTGCTCTCCGCGAGAGAAGGTGCACGTTACCCAGGAGGACTTCTGAGATGGCAGTGGCCAAGGTGATGAAGAAAGACACGGAGAAGAACATGTCCCTGCGCAAGCTCTGGAAGTGAGGCTCATGCCTTGTACCCACCTTTCACGGCCTCCCTGAAGCGAGTGCCTTCATCTTCTTATATCTCTGCCAAAGCAGTGTTGAATGGTGTAGCGGCATGCTCTGGACCTTTGTGATGTGCTTTAAGTTATGCCGTGCATGCCTATATATATGTTTAAAGTTTTCCTTATAACGGTTGTAGTACTTTATTGCAAAGTTGAATTTTATCAGATCAGTTAGATTATGGTACTAATGCATTGCTAGCTCGCGATGTACTGCGTTCCAGTTCGCACTTGGTTTGCAGTTTGCCAGCCCACTCGTAATGAACACTGCATAATGGTTACTGCTCTGATCTGATTATCCATGCGATGTTCCCTTTGGTGTGTGATATGCATTGCAATGTCGTGGCCCATTCAATCTGGCCCTGTCTGAGCTATGTTGTTTTCACGTTGTTAGAGCATCTCTTAGCCTAAGGGCTCTTTTATTCGACACCTAAAAACCTTTTTTCCCCTAAGATAAGAAAGGGAAAAACCGGGTCTCAAATGGTTTCCTATCTGAATCCCCTCAACAGTCAACATCCATGCTTGCTTGTAAATCTCTTCTATATGCTGGTTTTTCTCTGTTCCACGCTTGTTTTTTCTGAATTTTCATTGTCTCCGCCGCTTTGCTGCCACTGCCCACCGTAGGCACTGCCTAGCCGCATTTTATTGGTAGCTGTTGGCAGAATTGAAGATAAAAAATTACTCTCTGCTCATTTTTCATTTTAGCCACTTAGAAAAAACGACCGTTTGCAACAGAATTTAGTGCTTGCAACTTTGCCGTGCTGGTGGGGTTTGATTCCCCAGATCACTGTGCAATAAGACCATCAGAAGCTTACCTGAAAAATCAGATTGGTCTCCATCAGACATCAGTGGACGGCAGCGGCTACCTCGGCTCTGAACCTCAAGCTATGTTATGTTAGTTTGCAGGATCTCTGAACAGAAACAAAGGCACAAGTAACCTACTAACATTTGTTTTTGAGAAAAGAACTAATTAGATGTTAAATTCGGAATGGACAAAGGAAACAAGTACTACTAACATTTGTTTTGAGAAGGGAAGTACTGTCATGGCACAAGTACTACACACGCAAGTACATAGCAGAGTGGAAGGAAGCGTTGATTGGGTGGGACGCAATGCATTCATGCGTACACATTACACACAGCTCCCGTGACTGTGACCATAACAATTAACAAACCAGGCAAGCCCTTGACGCACACGGAAGAGAGTGTGGAGACAACACAGGTTCAGGTTCAGGAAGAGGCTGCAGCGTCTCATGAGTCATGCATGGTCCCAATCCATGAGATGAGTTTAACGGGTTTTTGGTATTCTTCCCCCTTATTTTGAAGTGCAATTGTGATTTTGCACTCGTTTTTCGAACTTTGTGATTTTGCCTTTCACTACGAGCAAGTCAACGCGATTTTGTCTCTGGTCTTTGTGAATTTGCCCCTATTTTGACCGTTGACTAGGGGCAAAATCGCATTGACTTGCTCGTAGTGAAGGGCAAAGTCACAAAGTTAGAAAAACGAGGACAAAATCACAATTACACATCAAAGTAGGGGCAAAAACAAAGAGCCCGATGAGTTACGCCATACCTATCCAGCCATTCAGGAATACTACTACACTTCCAAGACCGGGATTTCATCTCCTTAGAGTTAGTTCATCCTCCTACCATCTTCAGACCGCCTTTACTCCTCTGCCTTGAAGGCTTGAACATGCAGCACAGAGACGAACAAAATCCCAACGAAAATGGTTTGGCCCGCTTTGGGAGGGTTTCTTTCCCCGCTCCATACTACGATACCGGAGAGGAGCCAGAGAGCCCACTAAAATCAGCTTTTTCTGGTTTCACCTGCAAGCATATAGGTTGTGTTTTGAAACAAAAATAAGGCCATGTTTAGCGGAGCTCCTAAAATCGATTCTATGTTGAATCTAGCAGAAGCTTTGCTAAACAATTTTCCAGCTGATTCCGTGAAGTGATTCTCTTAAACGAAGTAAGAGACTGAGAGCGGAAAAAGTAGCTTCTCCTGATTCTATGAAGTAATTATGATTTTAAGAATTTATGATAAAGAATAAAAAAGAATCACTTTGAACCATAGAATCAATTCTCTCAGAGAATCGGCTTGCATAGAGAATCAAAATCAGAGTCCATTCTTCGTTAAAACTAAGCACATATACACTAAGCTTAAAAGTTAAAGAAGGGGTCATAAAATAGGAAACTTGTCGGTGTGGCACTGATCCAAAACGAAATGGAACCGTTTCCATCCGACTGGATGGACTTACTGAAACCTAAATCGGGTAGCGGGTACTTATTGAGACCTAAAGCTGGAGACACACATGCCCACATGAGCACAAGCCTTGCATTGGCGTAGCTCCACCTCCACATGCAATTGCACATGCGAGTGCCTGCCATCTGCCCTGCTTCACGGGCACATGATCACCCGATAAGCCAGCGCAGGCGCGGTCACATGCCGGAATCGCATCCCCGGGGGCCGGGGCCACCCCCCTTGCGATCTGCGTGCATGTCTTGCCGACCTGTGCAGTGCATGAGTGAGGTAATGTTACAAAAGAACAATGATTCCTGCCTCGTTTCTAACTTCCATGCACATTAGGAGCAAGTTTTTAAATCTCCCGCTATAGCTGCCGCTATATCTAGATATAGCTGTTTTGTTTTTATATACAATTTAGCCGCTATATATAGCCCACTGTTAGTTGTTTGATGAGGGAGGCCGCTAAATGGATTAGCCTGCTATTTAAAACACTCATTATGAGGCAGAACGGGATTCTGAGCTCACGTACAATATTATTGCTCAAATAACTGCAGAGTGACGTCTCACTCTTTCGTAGCGTTCTGGAGTATCTAGTGTTTTGCAATTTGCAGGTGTAGAAAGATCATGGCTCCGAAAAGATAGCAGAGTGATCAAAATCATGGGGACGTCAGTGAAAAACTTATGTTAAACTTACGGGCTCTTACAGTCTTACTGCATGAGCAGTCCGCGATTACTACAGGTGAATTTCAGTCCATGATATGGTCGGTGGATGCATGCTGGATGGAACAAAGGTCTTTGGCATCGTCATTCCCTCTCCCTCACATGGATAAGAGTGCTCATAATTGGCCATAGGCCAAAACCACCACTTCCACAGGTTCAGAGATCAAGCGAGCAAACTAATCGCAGAAAAAGGCTCAGATTGTCTGTTGCGCTGCTTTTGATCTACAGACCGCAGGCTTTGTATATCATTTTTGAATGGAGGCTTTGTATATCATCACCAAGACAACAACAATGTAGTATTGTAAGATCAGTGCTTGAGTCTCGACTCTTGGCCATACCCGCGATGTTAAAGGCCAGATTTCTCACTGAAAACTGAGTTCCGAAGCAGAACTCACGATGATGTTGATGTGCACAGTTACTGTAGAAACTGTCCCAAATTGAGAACATCTGTACATCAGTTTTAGCATGAATAACCGACAGTACTTATATGCAGCAGAGACCTAACCATAAATGATGACCTGTCCAAAAATGAAAAATAAGCCACAAAGGCATACCGATAAGGCAAGGTCGTCTTCACTTTGAGGATCTCATCTCATGCCAGGTCACTCATGAAGCTATTTCGCTTCAGATCTACCTATATAAAGCCTGACACCTCCTATATGTAATGTCCGAAAGATCTACATACTTCCACAAGCATTCGTAATATGACGAAACTGAACCCAAAAATGGGCAATACCGACATGTCGATTTTTCCTGACGGTTTGTCACTGACTCACACCTCAAACTTTAGCCTTAGGAGAGTGATCATCCAAAGAAAAAACAATTCAGAACTATAAGGTGGAATCTTGCCCTATATTATAAGTTATAAGCTGAGGCCTGCAAATTGATTGCATTTTGTTTCAGCAATAAGAAACGTTACTGATTGATCTCGAACATGGACTCATGTTCTTGACCCTGCCAGATCATGAAGACCGCACGTTGCAGGTTCTGACAGAACTGAACCTTGCAGAGGTAACTCCTTTGTGGCAGAACGGTTAATTGCGCCAAATCGAGGTGCAGTCCCGGAGGTCGCCTCCCACTCCATTTAAGCACCGCGCCTCTCCTCGCTCCGCTGGAGGCCAGCCACATTGATCGATCAATCGATCAGAAGTCAGAAGTTCGGAGCAACACGATTCGAAGTGCAGAATCTGTTCATCTCTTTAGATCAAGAGCAAATTGGAGCAAGATGGGAAGGTTAGCCATGGCTGTGCCGGTGATGCTTCTGCTGCTGTGCACGACGTGCAGACTGACGCTCGGAATTACTGACGGTAACGTAGTTGATTTTGATTCACAGTCGTTGTTCCGATGCGATTGCCGTTGGGTGAAGTTTCTTGGCGCGATCTCTGATTGATTTTCTGCCATGGAAATGGAATGGAATGCAGGTCTGCTCCCGAACGGCAACTTCGAGCGGGGTCCGCTGCCGTCGCAGCTGCGTGGGACGCGGGTGGTGGGCGCGTCGGCGATCCCGTCGTGGCAGACGTCGGGGTTCGTGGAGTACATCCCGTCGGGGCGGAAGCAGGGGGACATGGTGCTGGTGGTGCCCGAGGGCGCCTACGCCGTGCGGCTCGGCAACGAGGCGTCCATCCGCCAGCGGCTCCGGGCGCGCCCGCGCGCGCGCGCTACTCGCTCACGTTCAGCGCGGCGCGGACGTGCGCGCAGGCGGAACAGCTCAACGTGTCCGCGTCGGGGCAGTCGGGCCTGCTGGCCATGCAGACCATGTACAGCAGCAACGGCTGGGACTCGTACGCCTGGGCCTGGGTCGCCGACGCCGACGACGACGTCGACGTCGTCATCCACAACCCCGGCGTCACCGAGGACCCGCCTGCGGCCCGCTCATCGACTCCGTCGCAATCAAAGCGCTCAACCCGCCTCGCCGCACCAACAGTAAGCACGCACGCACACCCTGAGCTGCCGCGCTAGCTGCATCATCGATCAGGCGTGCCGGCCGGCGGTGGCCTGACCTGACACGACGGTGGACGTGTCCTTAATTTTGTATGCCCTTCTTGCAGAGAACCTGGTGAAGAACGGTGACTTCGAGGAGGGCCCGTACATCATCCCGGGGACCAAGTGGGGCGTGCTGATCCCGTCGCGGGTGGTGGACGACCACTCGCCGCTTCCCGGGTGGATGGTGGAGTCGCTCAAGGCCATCAAGTACATCGACGGCGACAGCTTCGCGGTGCCGCGGGGCCGGCACGCCGTGGAGCTGCTGGCCGGGAGGGAGAGCGCCATCGCGCAGGTGATCCGCACCGTGCCGGGGCGGCAGTACGCGCTGTCCTTCACCGTGGGAGACGCCAGCAACTCCTGCCGCGGCTCGCTCATGGTGGAGGCCTACGCGGGCCGGGAGTCCACCAAGGTGGCGTACGAGTCGGCGGGGAAGGGCGGCGTCAAGCGCGCCGTGCTGCCGTTCCTCGCCGCGTCCGCGCGCACCAGGCTCGTCTTCTTTAGCTCTTTCTACAGCACCCGGAGCGACGACCTCAGCTCGCTCTGCGGGCCCGTGCTCGACGACGTCGCCGTCGTCAGCGTGCGCACTACCAAGCGCGGCTAGAGAGCAAAAGCCCGGTGGTCGGAGGAGTGGAGCTCGGGCGTGCGTGCGAGAGGGAGACGGAGGATTTTTTTTTTCTTGCTGTTCTATCGCGCGGTTACTTGCCGTGTTTGTAGCTGCTCGTTGGGGGCATCAGAAAATTGTTCGAACCATGGGAAATTGTCGTTTCAGATATATGGTTTCGACCAGTACTTTCTAGAGCTTTTTACTTTTATGACCCTAAAAAAATACATCTTTCTTATACGTTTTGTTTTTTAACTTGTATGGCTCCAAAATAAAAATTTTCTTCGCCTAGATATTCCAATACCGCCGCATGGTACCGAGACCGAGCGGAAAGACTAGAGAGCGAGCGAAAAAAAAAACGCGATGGGGGAGGGCGCCGCCGCCGGGACCTCCGGCCCCGGATCCGCCGGATCCGGCTCTGTCCGGCCCCACTCCCATCGTTCCTCGCCGTGGGGGAGGCGCCGCCGCCCGCCTGGTGCAGCGCGCGCGGCCGGGGCTGGTCCGGCGCGGCCGCCACCTCCAGCGGCCAGCCCGGCGGCCCCTCCTCCAGCGAGCAGCCCGGCGCGGCCCCTCCAGCGAGCAGCCCGGCGCGGCCCCTCCTCCAGCGAGCAGCGCGGCCGCCACCTCCAGCGAGCAGCCCGGCGCTGCCGGCCCATCCCGCAGCTGAATAAGGGCATGTTTTTGTTTGGCTACATGAATTTGATTGATGACAATGGGGACAAGCAGGTTGAGGAATTGACTGCATTGCAGAACAAACGAGTAAAATTTGCCTGCGACAAGTACGTGTGACTTTTGCCACCTTGATCTTTAGCATTAGTATTTTTGTTTTGAGTAAATTGCACCAATAGACATCTAAACAAGACGTAGCATCACTGTTTTCTTTGATATGATGTCCATGTGAGTGGTTATTTGCAAATACCCAAGCAGAAAGTTATATGCACATGGGTGGGCCTGTTGCAAGCGGTAGAGTCCTTCCGGTCGTGGTCTCCTCGCATTTGCACAAAGTGAGGAAAACTTGCCACTCACACCTTTTCTCGGATCCCGCACATAGCGGGAGCTCTCTGTCCTGGGTAATATGCACATGGACTTGGTAAGTTCTGTGCTTCTATTTTATAGTTCTATTCCTATCATGGTAGCATGGCGATGACACGATTCTGTGGTTTGCACATGCAAGTCAGAACGTGATCCTTCTAGTTTTATGTTTTAATACAATTTCTATAAAATGAACCTGTGCTTCCTTTTATTTTCTGTAAGATCTTCTTAAAGAATTATTATGCTGTCTTGGGTTGGAAATATATCATCACAGAAACAAAAGGCAGCCTGCAAAGCCTTTCTTTTATTTGTAATACAGAGATTATGCAGGTAAGCTTCTGTTACTGATTTATTCATCTTCCTCTAGGGTGCTGAGTTTGAGCTTGATAGCATCAAGAAAATGTCAAAGGAGTATGCAGAAGCAAAGGAATTGGCCCTTGCAGGTGCCTGTCATTTTTCACTGTTGGATATGTGCATTTTCTTCTCCTTTTATGTAAAACTCTGGACAAACACTGTTCCTAACCCAACTGCTATTTGTTTGCCCCTATCACCTGGACAGAGGCAAGCCAAATTGTGGAAGTTGAAGATGCTAAGCACCTCCTTCAGAGTGACAAGCTGTTGGGTGACAAGATAGATGAAGTCGTCAAAGAATGGGATTCCCCGAATGAGGGGTTCTACCAGAGAACTGGATTATCCCGTGGCGATCAGCTCATGGTGATTGACAATGATGAATCAGGAGTACAATATTATGAGGACGGATCCCGTGGCAGTCAGTTCATGGTGATTGACAATGATGAACCAGGAGTACAAAATCACGAGGACGATGACTTTGATGAGTTAGATCAGCTGCTAGAGTGAAGAACGTCTCGTGAACTTTTACTGTCGTATAACCCTGTAATTCAGCGTACTACGAGATGAAATCCTTGCTCGTCTTTACTATGGTTAATTACAATGCATTTGTGAAATTTTTATGCATTTGATAAGCTCATTTTATTGCAATATATTTATGTACTTGATTATGTGTCCTATTATGTACTGTTATATGTGAATTTATTTGCTTAATATCAAATATACAACAGACAAACAAAACTTTGCATTTTATTTTTTCTTCGCCAGGGGTAAAACGGACATTTTACTTTTGACTTAACACCATCAAGTAACAAAAACGGACGGAAGGCCATAGAAGGAAGGAAATTTCGTTTAGGGGCCATACAGGTAAGTTAAAAAAAAAAGCCATACAAGGAAGATGCATTTTTTTAGAGCCACATTGGTAAAAAGCTCTACTTTCTAATGTTTCCACATGGTGCTGTGTTTTTTTGGGAAGAAATGCTCCATATAGTGTTTTTTCCCTAAAACATTGACAAGAAGTCAAGAGTGCGGTGTCCGGATTAGAGCGTGAGTGAGAAATATGAGAAAAAATTGAAACAAAAATTTGATGAAAGTTTCAGGTACTCCGGCGTACTGGGGTCTCACGTCATATATGTGCTACTAGGACGAAAGGCGCGCTCCGCTGCGCCCGTAAAAAAAAAGTGCCCGTAACCACATGTTGTCTCATCATGGTGTACCATAATGATCTATTGAGGTTTTCTAAAAATGAACCTAATACCAATAACATAATAGTCCTGGTAATAGATAGAACTATAGATTAGTGGTGGGCAAGCAAACAATTAAGGGTGGAAATATTATATTGACTGAAATGATGTCCCAGGGACTACGAATTCCATGGTCAAGGCAATATGCCAAGGAATTCGTAGCCCGTAACTAAAACATAGTACAATCGTTTGGAGTACACATATATGGCATATATATGCATGCACTCTATCACATATACAGACACCAAATGGTCTTCCAATATGTGACGAAAGGCAATATGACATATGGATCGTCGCTGATTATAATGGCCACCATTGTTGGGCTGCAGACTCACAAGGGCACTGCTGAGTTGGGCATGATGAAGAACCTGAGAAAAATGTTGCCACAAGGGTTACATATTAGATTAGATCAGGAAATCCTCTATGGTCCTACACATGGGTACCAATTCTGAGTAGCAGTCTTACAGGGGTCAGTGGCAAATTCAGTAGCAGGTATGTTCAGTGCAGGACAGGAAGGTCATGTTAGGGGCATCAATTTAAAAGGCATGAACACGCATCCAATGAAAAAATTCACTTGAAAGAAATACATATAAATATATAATAACTCATATGAAAAAATGGAACTCATATTTATCCCTGTGCAAGCTAAACACGTGCAAAGATTCTGCTTCCCTGATATGCTGCGAGGCTATTGATACAGTACCGTGTTCCAAGTTTATTAATGCATTGATATGCTGCTTATATTTACAATCTTCAAAAAGAACAATGTATATGCTATACAAATTCATACATAAGAAAGGAAAGTTCTTATGTGCAACTAAGGTTACCTATGTAGCTATCCACTGGCATCTCTGTCTCGATCGAACCTGCAGAAACATATAAAATCCATAGAGCGTGAAAACGAAACAGTTTATCGCCTTCAAAGCGCACAGGCTGGCTAGTGGATCGCTGTCACAATGGCAATGGACAGGGAACTGGTGGCACATATTATAGAACTCTAAATCTATCGAGCAAAGTAAAAATGAGGTAAAATGCAGAGGGAAATAGCGCAAAGGCATGTTTAGAATGCCTCAAATGGTATGAACCTGATAGATGATGCCTATTCTTGAGCTGAAGCTCCAACTGTCTTTCATAGAGTTGTGATCTGGGTTGGCAAGAACGCACGAGGTCCACCGTCACAAGCAATTACTGCACTGTTCGGTATTTTCAAGTAAAATTTTCAGATATTCTATCGAAGGAAACCAACTGTGTGGTACATGGATCCGCTTCGTTTGCCGGGACTGTATGTTCCGCTGCAACGATGGAAAGGCGATACATACCTGTTCAGTAAGAGGAACAGCGAAATGAAAGAAGCGACAGGAATTACTATCTGTGTGTATGGAAAATTTATGTGATGAAAAAGGTGACATGGATCCTCCACCTGTGCCTACTACCAGAGCATTTTTGTCCACCACACTTGAAAAATTGAGATATAACATGCAACCTGACTAATAAAAAGGAAACCGACTGGTTCACAAGATGCCATGTCCATATATATAGTATTCAACATTCAAGTTGGGAGCCCTTTGCTGCCAAAGAGCAATCAGAATCGTGTGTCCGCAGTATTATAATCAAGGGAATAACAATAAAAGAAGTTCTATAGAAAATAATCTACTAATTGCAGCAGAAAATATACCATATGATTTTTTTGAACAATATACCTTTGATCAACAAGATGCACATTGCAAAGTGGGTTTGGTCCTGCCTTGATCTTTTTGAGTCTTACATGAGTACAACTCGTCACAACACCAATTGTATTTGTATCTGCAGATACAACTTATATATGAAGCAACCAAAAGACAAATAGTTGTCAGGTAGAGCTTCAACATCGACATAGTTGGATATACACATAGAAAATTACAACTAAAGTAAACTAAAATTTGTAGAAGTATGTAGCAGAGCAAAGCAATAAGCATGCTTATGTAAATGAGGCACCATGGTTTTGATCCTATATACCTTTGTATGGGCAATGAAGCTTATATCAGATAAGGGTGCTCAATAGTTGAGTTCTATGTGTGAGCATTGACAGCCTGAAAAATTGAAGCGTGGTATAGAGTCCCTTCTTTTAGCTGGGGCATGGACACTGTTATGTATGCTTCCATTGTTGTATTATGTGAGAGCAGTAGTGCCTAGAAATCAGACGACCTCAATAGATATAACATAATGAACACTTGGGCATTTCTCAGAAGCATCCTGAGTCCTGACAGCTAAATAGTTACCGATTGCATTGACAACAAAGAGAAATTTCTTTGGTCATGCATGCATAGTGTAACATGGTTTCCAAACAAAAGAAGCAAAGAGAAGGACCTTAACAGTGTGCCTTTGAGAATAAGGTGACTTACTTGAAACTGCTGTTGAGGTTCACTAAGTCTGTCTGCAACAGCCTTGAGCTGCAATGGGAGAAAAAAAACTTGTTTTGGGATGATTGATGTCTTCGCATTAGGAAATCTGTGTGTGCCCATGCAGACCAGCAAAGTCCTGTCAAAACACATTGGTGAGTAACTCGGCATCCCTTCAGCACCAATATTGAAACTGAAAGCAGGGTGCAGAAAATTAGATAGTACTAAACGAACCAGGGTAGGTGTTGGTTGAGGCAACGAAGCAAACACATGGTGCGCGCTACGGTCGCGTTCTGTGAGCAGCACCTGCAGGGAGGGCACTGCTCATGGACAGCGTCGAGCAGGCAAGATACACGATCTGAAACACAAAGAGCAAGAAATATATACACCAATCCAAGAACAGATATATACATCCCAAGACCGTGGACGAATGAAGGCACAGTTAGGCAGAGCCGCAGAGGGATGGGGATGCACAACCTGTGTATCGTCCTGGTTGGCAGGTAGTGCCGGAAACGAACGTGCAAGCCGCCGACGCCAGGGGATGCGGCGTGAGAGATGACGACGCGGTGACGGGCCCGCCGTGGCCCGCGGCGGTGCAACAGGCAAGCGGAGGAGTCGAGGAGCGTGCGCGACCCGTCCTCTGGCCGCCGCTCCCACCCCCGCCTGACGTTGCGCACACCGGAGGCGTGAGCCGACCCGCGGAGCACCGACGCCCCTGCCCTTGATCGCTGTGCGCATCTAACCTACGTCTCGCCGCGTCTTCCGAGCTCGACCGCGTACCGCGCTGGTGGTCATATCCAGATGCGGGAGGAGGCGGCGGCGGCGGTTGGAGCAGGTGGGGCGACGGCGGCGGCGGAGAGAGCGGCTTTGACGGACGGAGAGAGCGAGGGTCAGCAGGAGGGCCCGCCCAATTAAACGAAACGAAGCGAGACCAAATCGAGGACTACACACGCACGAGTCCACGTGGCTGCATACGATTGGTGAATAGCAAGAAAACAGTAACCAGATCGCTCTCAACGCGCGGATTCAGGAGCTATATGGAGTTTCATATTTCTGATGTTGGGCTAGTGCTTGACCAAGGCCCTGGTCTCTAAATCTAGGCCTAGCCCTATTGGGTCTGGTATGTTTAGAGTGAAAAAAGCCCATCCTGGAAATGGAGGTGCTATCGAGTCGAGTAAGAAAAAGGCCTATCCCTCAAGGCGGAGCCCTATAAGAGAATGGAGGCCCATGCAAAAATATGCACCCCAGGGTTGAGCCTAATCTTGATCCATCTGCCTGAAGGCTCATCGTGTATAAACCATAAAATCGGCCAGCCCATTTAGGTACATGGGGCTTCTTTTTCTGCTTATTCATTGAAGCCAATCTCAAGTCCCCTGCAAATTTACAGCCATGGAAGGTTGAAATAAGGAGCTAGAGGTAGAAAATTATGAAAGAAAACCCCTTCCAATAGTTGTTTCTAGATATGTCCCTAGTTGATTCGACATCCTTTAAGAGTTTGTTTGGATCAGCTAGCTAGGATTAGTTATTAGTTGGAGCTAAAATTATCTTAAAATTTCCTTATATTAACAACTAGGTGTAGCCTTGACTAACAAATTAGCTGACCTATTAGCCCCATGTTTAAATGGGTTAGGGCTAATTTTTAGTTGGCTAACAATTAGACTTGGCATTCATATAGGTCCTAATTCTTGTCTCCTATCTAATACTCCACCCCTAACCAAAAAATTAGATATCTTACACCATAGACTATCATTATGGTATCAGATAGTTTTTGAGGTAAGATATATGGTTTTGTGGTTGTAATATGAAACTTGGACTTGCCAAGAGTTAGAAGGGCGTCGTCCAATGTACTTCCTTTTGTTTCACTGTTTAGCAGTTTTGTTCCAATCTT